CCCAATCATCAATCCACACTGCATCCAACCTCATCGAGTCAAGAGCCCAAGTTGCGGAAGCAAAATGAACATGACGAGGAAGTGTAGAAAATCGTCACATTTGATTTTAGCAGTTGTGCCTGAGCGGCCACCCTTTCCAACCTTGATTCCAAAAACGCCTGCGTGCACCGTCGAGAACGATAGCGGTGAGGCAGACACAAAGGCAGCAGCCCACCTCAACTTGCGCGTGGCGGCACCGTGGCCGATCAGTGGCTGGAAGTACACGATGTCACGCGTCGTCAAGCCCCCACGCGTTAGCTAGGTTGAATGTCTGCCACGGGCGTCAAGACGCGCTATCATGTGACCCTGCACCGTACTGCAGTCGCACAAGCCCCACTAAGCCTGCGTCGCTTCATCCGATTGGCTAAACCCAGTATCTCTGTGCGAAATTTCGCACGAGCCCCACATTTAGCACCCAGACGAGCTCTGCCCTGCGTTAGTCAATCTCCGATAAGAGCTCCGATAAGAGCTCCTGCAGCACTTCCCAACTACGGAGACGACCCCGGTGGAGCTCCCTCAAGGTCGCCGAGTGGAACTTTCGGCGACGCATCCCATCAAGGCTGAAAGATCAATAACATTGGAACACCGGTGAGGCAGCAACCTGCGAACATTTCAATCGAGTACGAGGGCATGCCGAGTGGCCCAGCCTTCAAATAGGAAGGAGGAATTTTAGGAATCCCCAACAGGGCCTGCCTGGGTCACGTCAAGGGCGGGAATGAAGGCAAGACAGTCACCACATGCTTCCTGGGCGTCATTTCATCACGCACATAACACACGGACAAGTAGACAGGTGAGAGACGAGACCAAGCCCCTGGCTAAGCCTTGCCCTGCCACTCTTTACATCCCCAACCCGCTGCTAGTCGCTGCTCTGCACGGCTATTGAAAGATATAGCCTTTCCGTCAACCGACGCTCGTCCGCTCCAGCCCTCACAGCTAGCTCCACGGCATCTCGGCGAGTGACTCGGGCCGGGGGAGCTGCGCGTGCGTTACTCGCGTCTGGGTCTGCATCGCAATCCGCACCGACCCGTCGCCGCCCCTCAACTGGGACGCGGTATCGCACACCTGTTGCGCACAGCGGCCTCAGCCATCACAGCCGAAATGAACGAGGTACGTAGCGTGCGGAGACTGTCGGCTGCAGCCGCGTTGCCCTCCGAGGGCCGCGACCTCTAGAAGGATCCGCATGTCCAATCCTCCATGCCCGTCTTATCAGAGCTGGTAGTGCTCGTTTTCGCGCCGATCGAGGTAGCAGCCATGGTGATGAAGTAGTCTACCCCATTGCCGAGGGCGGCGAGATGGCGACCTGCAATGAGGGGCCGGTCATCAAGGAGGTTATAGCCAACGGCGATGATCTGGGTTTGATTGGCGAGCGAATGGCGGCGGGGCCAGTCCCCGTCCTCGAGGAAGGCCACGGGCTGGTTTAGCAGCATCAGGGGGCAGCCGGGTGTGTGTGCAGGCATGGAGGAAGTCGCATTCTCTGTTCTGCGTAGTGCGGGCGAGGTTATCCACATAGGCGTCGAGACCACGCGTGGCGGCAAGGGCTGCTCCGAGGCGTAGCTTTCCATCGAAAATGGGGATGAGAAGCCGGGCGAGAGAGGTGTTGCCGCTCTTGTCGCTGTACAAGGAAGGCGCATCGTCGTCGTTGACGATGGCTAGGGTGCGGAGGAGGCGGTGTAGTGCCGAGGCGCCGCGCGCGGGAGGGCAGCTGCGGTCGAAACTGACTTCGTCATCCATGTCCCGCCAGGATGCGATCGCAGCTGCGACGGCGGCGATGATGGAGGAGTGTCGGAAGCGCGCTGTGTTGGCGTGGTTCGCACTGCTGGTATCGCGAGGCGAAGGGGGCGCGCGCGAAAGACAGTATGGGCGCCTCGCCGCGGAGGGCGGGATCACCGCCGAGGCGGGAAGGAGGGCTGCATCGAGGTCATTGTTGGAGGAGGTCGAGTGACGGCGAGGGATGCGAACCCATGCATCCACGATTGTCAAAAGGCCTGTAGAGAAAGGAAGGGCCATAGTACCATGGATGCGTTTATCGTATCGAGACAGGAGGGATTGGTGTTAATGTATGGTTCGGTGGTTGGTGGGGGCGGGGGGTACGGAGCTTTGAGCAAGGCGATGCCGACAGCGGAGAGGCGCGCGAGATGGCGGCAAGGTAGCTTTGATGTAACGGGTAGCGGTGACGGAGACAAGAGGCCCAGGCGCGAGGCAGAAGCAGAGGTTTTAGAGGTCGAGGCAGCTGACAACACAGCAGAGCGGGATCGGGGTCGGCAGGACGGGCGGCGGGTGATGGCGGATGACGGTCAGGCCGGAACCGGCACCATTGAAGTGAAGAGACAATGGATAGTCGAAGCGAGGGATGGGCGACTCGTAGAAGCAGAGCTCGACAGCCTGGACAGCAAAGTTGTTAGGCTGGTGGAGCTCGCCATGGTCGCTGTTGTGATCGTCGTTGTTGTGGTCATCGTTGCTGGAACGCGGGGGTCAATTTGGTTGCTGATGTGCACAAAGAGACTTAGAATCAATTGTACGTACGGTATGTAATGTCCATGGGAAGCACAGCCTGTTGAAGGCCTCGGGGGGGGGGGGGGGGGGGGGGGGGNGGGGGGGGGGGGGGGGGGGGGGGGGGGGGGGATGGTGGCGGCGCAGATGGTGTTGACGATGGTATTGGCGACAAGGCCATCCATCACCACGTCGTCACAGCAAAAGACGACCAACGCCGCAAGATAAGGATAAGGGGGTGTGGCAGATAACAGATACCAGATAACGATTAGATAAGACCTGGGCAGGACAGGACTCGAACTTCGGTCAACCAAGCGAATCAAAAAAAAAAAAAAAAAGCCCCGACGAAACAAACGGAAAATCCAACACCACAGAGAGAAAGAAGAGGAAGGAAATACCTCAGCCAGAATTTATAGAGGGAGGGGAAGGAGGGAGAGAGGAGGAGGGAGAGGACAAACCAGCTCCCCAAACCGCCATCCAACGCAACCACCGATTGCTTCATCAAATCACACAGACCCATTCAACCTAATCAGACATGGTAGCAGCAGAAGATAGCAACAATAACAACGGCCGATTCATCAAATCCCCTGTCCTTTCTGTGTGCTCCATCCAGCCGCCAGATCACTTTCATCTTCAAGCCCTCCTTCCGCAGGGTGTCATGCACACTGCCACTCTCGCCCTCTCCACTGCCGTTCTCTGCGCCGCCGCTGCTGCTGCTGGTGTTGCCGATGGTGACCGCGCTTCTGCCGGATTTATCGTCACCAGGTCTGCTTTCCTTGTGATTAATACTGCTACTAATGCAGGCGCTGGGCTTGACGACGGCTGCTCCTCCTCATCTCCGGCTCTCTCTTGCTCTCGCTCCCATTCACCCTCACTCTGCCCCCTCATACGTGGGTCAGTCTCTGGCTCCTCCGTCCACGCTTCTTCCAGCCTCGACCGAGCCATCTGCCTCAAAAGCATCCAAGCCATCAATAGATTCTCCCTCAACCCAGCTCAAAGTAAGGTATTACATGATGACCAGTGACATGGTTGACGCTCGTAACTGAGGTGGGAGAAGGAAAGCAGCCACCCTGCTGTGGCGATCACGATAGCGGGGGTGGCTGAGTTACCCCGCCATCTGTGGCTGTGTCTGGTCAAGAAGCCAGCGCTGATTCACTTCAGTGTGAGCTGCTGAATGGAGATGCCCTGTGCAGTTCTGGTTCGGAAATTCCAGCACTAGATGCAAGTACGCAGCATGACTCGGCTTGGCGCCACTGTCCATCTCTCGCCGCCGTCTCCTACGTTTGGATGCAACACCAACACTGAAATGCACCGTCACCACCAACGCCAAGCCCACGACTCGGACTGAAGTTAGCGGGAGGCGATGAGGGCGATGCGGTGCGGCTGCTGTCCGGGCACACGCGCGGGTGATGTGCGGTGCGCAGACGGCTGGCTGACCCGTCATGTTTATTCCCAGGACTAAAATGGGGAACTGAGCAGGTGTGAGCTGTGCGCCATCCCTCGCTCCTGCCTTCTAGTTGTGCCCCGCCATGAAGTGAGCTGGTAGCCAGGCCCCCTGCAAGCTGAGCTACCACCTCCAGCTACCACCTCGAGCTACCACCTCGCCCCACGGTCTTTCCCCGACACATGACCCCCTTGCCTGGCGCCAATTGCCTTGACATCAGCTGCTGCCTCTCCCGAGCCTGCCTCCTACAGACCGAAAGCTTCCTTCCATTTGCAACGATCATCCCTTCCCGCTCCTACCTTCTCGCTTGTGGCCCGCCATGAAGTGGTAGCCAGGCCCGCTGCAAATCCAGCTACCACCTCCAGCTACCACCTCTCCCCCGACACGTGACCCCCTTGCCCGGCGCCAACTGCCTTGACATCAGCTGCTGCCTCTCCCGAGCCTGCCTCCTGCGAACCTGGAGCTTCCTTTGCAATGATCATCCCTTCCCGGCCATGCTCTGGCTGGCATGACGCCCCATCCAGCTCACCAACTGCACCTTCCGCCTATTGCTTTGGCTATCAGGGGTGTTTGTGACCTGGATCATCATAATGAGACGAAAATCAACGAATGAGCGACGGTTCTGCCCGGCCACTTGATAATCAGACGATGATGGTGAAGATTGGAGACTCGAGCCATTGTGGTGGTGATACCATCGTCGCGAAACCATCGCCGCCTTGCCGCGATTGATGCCAACCTCATAGAACAACTGGTTTTATGTTCGAGATCGACGATACCTTCATGGCCGCATCTTTTCATTCCGAGATGTCAACGAAGTCAGGCACAACAATCACAAGTCGCATAATCAGTTGGAAGGGGTTCACCCGGGGACCGAAACAGGGACGGTAGACTAAACTTCGCTGCACACGGAGTCTTCACAGACGACTCGCACCGAGGCGCATTTCACTGTTTTGATGTAGCAGCAAACAAAATATATAATCTTTGCGAGCACCCCAAAAGCCCCATATCATCCACACGGGACAAACACTCAGATGCCTGCGGCTGCGAGGATGGAGGCAGCAGGATTGCCGAGCTTCTCCTCCAGCGCCTCAAGCCACCCCTGCAGTTCCTCGTCATCCTCGACATCGCCGTTGTCCGGTGCGTCTTGATCCGGTGGCGGCGGCGGCGGGATCCGCGCGGCGTCTTGGTCTTGGGCGCGGATGAGGCGACGCAGGCTGTTGGACACGTTCTGCGCCAAAGCATGCACCTGGTTCCGGAGGCCGTCAACCATGTCGGCCTGCACTCCCAGGGGGGGCAGCAAGCCGTGGCGGAGTAGCACGCGGTGCGACGAGCGGACCCGCAGACGACCGTCCGCCACGGCGAACCCCGGCGCGTCCTGGAACGAGACGCCGATCCAGCTGCCCCTTCCCCGACGGAGGTCGTGCAGTTCGGCGCGGAGGCGTTCCGTGCGGTCGCAGAGGGATCGGCTCGTCACGATGGCCTCGACGACGGCGAGTTCTTGAGAGAGGATGGACGACATGCGCACGGTGGACAGCCGGGTTGCCAGGGTCTGCACATCGGACGCAGGGGCGGCCTCCTTGCGCGAGCGAGAGAAGAAGTACATGGGCGACGACCAGAACGCGGGTTGAGTGGACTCTGCCGCCGCGACGTTGGGCGCGAGAGGATCCCAGAGGCCGCGCGAGCGTACAATGTCGAGGAGCTCGTCGACCTCGGCGGCAACGGCGGTGATTTGGGCCGCAAGAGCCATCAGGAGCGGGACGTCGGCTTGGCGGGACGCTGGACCGGGTGGCGAGGTGGGGACGGCTGCTGCGTGGTTGTCGGCCTGCTTCAGTTGCAGCCTGCGCCATTGCTCGAGGAAGCTGACGAGAGGTTGGACGTCGCCAGATGGCGGGAGGTCGGGCAGCTCGCAGAGCGGGTGAGGTTGGCCGCCGGTGCCGTCCGCCAAACGGCAGCCGCGGAAGAAGGAGCATTGGTGACCGCCGAGGCGATGCAACAGGGTCTCGTTGTACGTATCGAGCACGGCTGTCATGGTGGCAGACATGTCGGCGATGGCCAGGACGCCGTCCGCGGCCGCGGACAGCCGTCGGCGTGACGTGTTGAAGGACTCAGGGGATGCGAAAAAGGACGCGACAGCATCATCGCCGTCGTCGCCGTCGCTGGTGTTGGCCTTGCTTCTGCGGTGAGCTGTGCTGCGCAGGCGGTCGCGCGTCCAGTCGAGCGTATCGGCGATCGCGGGGATCCAACGGAACCCAGCGTGGAACTCGAGATCGACCTCCCAGGTGGAGGTGGCGGCGGAAGCGGAGTCGATGATATTGGCGATGAGAGCGCGCTCGGGTCGCGAGTGGCTGGCAAGGGGGTCGCCGGGGGAGGCACGGAGGACAGCGCTGACGAGGGAGCGGGCGATGACGACTACTTGGTCAAGCGGGACGACCTTGCCAAAGTGGCGGACGAGGTCGGCGTCGGAGATGGTGGCGCTATAGAAGGCCAGTCCGCGGGGGCGAGCGAGGGAGAGGAGAGTTTCCGGGACGGAGGCCCAAGCCGCGGCGAGAGCGAGCAGCTCGTCCAGGAACGACATGGGGACAGCGACATGGTTTACCGTGGCGGCGGGGGCAGAAGGGCATGCCGTACTTCTGGGTGGACATGGAGGGCGTGTGGGCCAAGGCGACGGCAGTGTGAGGATGTAAAAGACGGCTACGCTAGCGGCGGCGGCAGCGCAAGCGATAATGTAGGGGAATATTCGGGAGAAGAGGGTCGCTGGCTTGGAAGGTGGCAGCCGCGCGTCGTCAGGCCGAAGACTCGAGGAGGCGGAGGGGCCTATGTCGATCGGATCGCACTCGACAATGTAGCACGGTGGTTGCGGCGTCGGCAGCACAGGAGGGATCGGATAGAGGATGACACGGTCGCGACGGTCAAGGTGCAGCGATACGGGACGGTCGGGGCTGGGGGCGAAATCGGAGTGGAAGCAGATCTCGACGGGTTGCAGGACAAAGTCGGCGTCGGAGCCGGAGTCGCTGGTGTCGGGGTTGTTGGGGCCGTCCTCGTACTCGTTGTCCTCGTTGCCCGCAGGGAGACATAGGCGGACGCTGAAGCGCAGCGCGTTGAAGCGATCCGGAGGATGGTCGGAAGCGCGGCCGAAGACGGCACGGAGTGGGTGGTTATTGGCATCGGAGTCGGCATCGAGAGCGAGTCGTGAGGGCATTGCAGATGGGCTGACCGACTGACCAATTGAGACGGAACGGCTGCTGGCGGGGTGGGATTCGTACCGCGTTACGGTGGCAGCAGAGAGAGATTGAGTAGACCTGGGTCGCAACGAGCGCGCGAGAGAGGTTTGGAGCTGCCAGACATTGCGGCGGCGACTGTCGGCGGTGGTGGATGTGGTGATGTAGTCTGGGTAGCAAACATTGTGTGATGGAGCAAACAAAGGCCAGACGATACGAAGAAGTTGATGAATGGGAATTCAATTTCCCCCACACTGACAGTAAGCAGCGATTCTCTAATTGGCTGCAGGCACATGCAGCTACCCGTCTGAACCCAGTAGGGGGGAGCTGCACCCTTGACCTCACTACATACATAGGTACACCCGTTACCTCAGCCAGGCCAGTCCACCCCTCCCTCTCTTTTCCGAGGGTTTTTTTTTTTTTTTTTTTTCCCCGAATCTATCTACTCTAGCGCACGGCGCAGCGCTGAACTGTGGTGGTGGAATACTGTTGGGTGATCAGGCCAACAGCATTCTCACTCCCTGCCAGGGCGCCACTGGGACGGATGCACTGTGGCTGTGCATGCACAACGTGCACAGACACACTGACACTGCACAAAAGGCAGCACTATTACATAAGGATGCTCTCAGACATCATGAGGGCCGAAGGCACCCAAGGCACATGGACCTGAGCCAAGGTAAGGAAAGGTATCCATAAGGACCCCACCGCCCCGATTCTGCCACTCAACACCATGCCGAAGCATCACGACAACACCACCATATCCATCGCGACAGCGACCCGAACCGAACAGAACTCGACTCCCGTACCGTCGGCGGCCACTCTCACAGCTGACGCCTAGCAATCAATCTTGGCCCGCTCGACGCATCTATCGCTCCGAGTCACCATGTGGCTGGCCAGACCACACAGCTCTCGCACGAATAAACACGGAACAGAGTGGGAAAGATCGCACGCGGGAGGGCAGCGAAAGAGGACACGGCGCGATTGGTGGGGAGGAGTCTCCCCGCGGCCATCTTGCTCGACTCTGGCGTCCGAGTCCGCGCGTCACGTTGCTCAATCGTACCCATGGTAACGAGAGCCTGCGACGGGACGTCGTACCACCTAGAGGAGCCCGAGTCGCAGGGTCTGTCGGCTTGTTGAGTGCGGCGATGCGAGGCATCTTCGATTGAAAAACCGGCAGAGGGGGCATGGCATGGCGGGAGAGTTCCCGGGTAGTGTCAAGGAAGTCCTTGTTGGTGGTTAGCATCAGAACACCGAAACACGCCGACCAACTATGCGCACTCACCTCTGCCGCCGCAGCTGCATTCGTTCTCACGCTTCCAGTATTTTCTGGAAATTGGCGATCGGCCCGTTGCTTAGTTGACGAGGCTCGGCCATGTCGCCGTCGGCTTGCTTGATCGCTGCCAGTGGCGCTGGTTGCAGGTAGGGTTGTTGTTTCTTTCGTGTGGTCTCGGAGTCTCTCCCCGGCGCAGCATAGGCGGCGCGAGTGGTCGTCCTTGCGCAGCATAGGCAGCGCAAGTGGTTGCCCAGGCGCGTCTCGGAGATGAAGGAGACGGGTGCGGTTGCGCATCAGCGTCGCATGCCATGGGAAAGGGGAGAGAGGGAACCGAGAGAGAACCGGAGATTTGATCATCAGATGGGAGCACGGGTCGGCTCGGTAATTAAGGCGGCACACACAACACACGGCCATGATCGTCTTCTGGGTGCCCTGGTCACGACCAAGGCAGGCCTTGGGTCGCAAACGCAGAGAAATCAGCGCTCTTTGCATTCTCTCGCACTCTGCTATGTTCCTGTCTGTCTCAACACAAACCAGCGGTCTGGCTGGCAACCTCCAATCCCAAGGGCGCAACCAGCCTCCAGGCCCACGAGCTGCCTTCCACGATTCCCTCGTTGGTGCCAGCCGGCCACCTCCATCCTCCTGTTCATGCGCGTCCACGCAATTAGCCGAGAGGGGTTCGTTCATCCTCGCAGTCAACCGAGAGGAGTTCGTCCAGAGCACAGCACAGCTCCAGGCACAGCGGGTGGACCGGCGAACCATTGGCCGCGGCTCAGGCGGATTCCATTTCGAGATATGACACGACGCATCCGAAAGAACTGCTCTTCTCACCGACGGCAGGAAACGAGACAAGTGCGCAACCATGACATTTTCAGAAAGACGCCTGCTGTCTGCCCTACCTGCTCTACCTTGGTCAACTCTTTGTCGCACTATGCACCCATCACCCCTCATCCCCCGCCATCTACCTATACCCCCCCATCCCGCAGTCCGAGAAACATGTCAAACACACCGCCCGCCCTGAACACCCCCGGTCCCTGGCGCTTCACCTGCGCCCAGACCCTGTGCTTCTCCCGCACGACATTTGCTAGGTCAACTGAGCCAACTGAGCCAACTGAGCCACCTGAGCCACCTGAGCCACCCGAGCCAACAATGACCGCAAACCGCAAACGCCGCTCCGCCGCTGCCAGAGCTACCAGGCGACCACGAGTGGCGACAAGGCTGTTGATGGAGTCGCCCAGGTCGTCATCTCTGTGCTCGTTGTCTCCTCGCGCGCGAAAGGTGCCGTCATCTTGGGAAAGGCGCCGTTGGTATGGCACCTGTTGGTCCGCTTCTTCGCGGTCGACGTGAAGTTGCTGGCGGTCGACTTGAGGCTGCGTTGACAGGCGACTACGCGCGACAAGGTTAGCGATGGAGTTGCCTGGGTTGTCATCTCTGTGCGGCTCGTTGTCGACGTCTCCTCGCGGGCGAAATGTGGCATAATCTCGGGGAGGGCGCTGTTGATGTTCGACCTGTTGCTCTTCCATCTCTTCGCGGCTGACTTGAGATTGCTGGCGGTTGACGTAGGATTGAGTTGAAAGGCGACCACGCGGGGCGACAAGGTTGTCCAGGTTGTCCTGTCCTCCCTCGCGAAAGCTGCCGTCATCTTGGGGAGGGTGCTGTTGGTGTTGCGCCTGTTGCTCTGCCTCCTCTCTGCGGTTGGTGCGAGATTGCTGCTGGTTGACGTGAGGTTGAGTTGCCATGCGTCCCTGCGCGGCGACAGGGCTGGCGATGGAGTCGCCCGGGTCTCCAAATCTTTCCGGCCCAGGCGCCGATGATGTCTCCAATCCTATGGTTCCTAAGCTATGCGCGTCGGGTGGAGGAAACGCAGCAGGCTGAAGAGCTCCGGAGCATTGCGCGACAGTGCCCGACTGAGGGAAATGGTGAAAGAGAGATGGCTGACGAGTAAGCTCATCATTCCTGAACGGCCCGTTATTGTTGTTGTTGTCTCTTCGCGCGCGGAAGGTGCTGCCATTGTGGGTGCCGGTGGTGGTGGTGGTGGTGACCAAGTTGTCCAGTCGCCAGTTCGTCCCCGAATCAAGCAGAGGGCATCCCTGTCGAGCTGAATGAGACTGTTGCTGTTGTTGCGCGCTTCGGTGCGCATCCTCTTCGCGGTCGATGCGAGGTTGCTGGCGGTCGACGTGAGGCTGGCGCCGTTCCTGGGCGGGCGGAGGCTGAGGGGGAGGATCCTCATCGTCATCCTGATCCTCCATGTCCACATCGTCGTCCTCGTCCTGTCCTACCTTCTGCGGCTCCTCCTCCTGAGGCTTTTTCAGCAGCGCATCAGCAGTGGCCATCCAACTCTTTCTCACCGCCTCATCCCACGTAAACGTCTCCACGCCCGTCTCCCCATCCACGTTATGTGTGATCTTCTTATCGTCGACCCAGCGGGACATCTCGTAGTGGAAATGGGTTAGCATGCGGTCGCGGACGCCCGCCCACTGCGCCGGGGTGATCCGCGTCGTGTCAAGGCCCAGACTTTTCTGGGCGAGCGCCTGAAGTCTGGGTTCCGTGCAGCCGTCGCAGCTCCAGCGGTCAGTCTTGGAGAGTGACGCTGGCGAGTGGGAGTGGCGAGCGAGGAAGCCCCGGAATGCGTTCTTATCGTCCGTTGTCCAGATGATCTGCGTCCGACGCGCCGCGCTCTTCTTCGGTCCTAGTGTCAGCTCTTTGAGAGCTAGCTTCGCGAGGGGGTATCGCCGCCACGTCGTGAGAAGAGGCAGCTTCTGTTGTTTGTCGACTGCCATCGTTTGGGCTCGTCTGGTGAGATGGATTGAGTGTTGATGATGCTCGACGTGGGGGAGACGATAGTCAGAGTGGAATCGCGACCTTAACGATGATGGTACCGTTGCGAGTCTGATGCCAGTGCTGCTGATCTGGCGCTGTGTTCTTGGTCGACGTGTCCACCGTGACCGCTCTTGAGTTCCCGAGACACCGGATTGGCGTGTAGGCCAGGTCGCTGGGTCTCCTGGGGAGCAAACGGCGGCAAAGGCCGTTTGTCGATGGGTGGGGAGAGAGACACGGCGCGGAGCTCGCGTTTCTCCGCGCGATACCCTTGGTCCAGTGTCGAGCGGCCTGCCTCTGTGGTTCTCCTGATACATCAACAGGCACACCTGCATCCTCTCTCGCGCCCGCCTGGCGGTCATTATCGACGCGATCGACTTCGACCAACCAACCCCGTCAGCGTTATGGCTCAGAAACCACCCAGGAAACCACTCAAGCTCATCACTGCCTCATCGCACGATGGCCTCCGTTCATTGGATGCCGGCGCGAAGTGGGACGAAGTTGAAGACTTGATGTCTCCAGGCACCGCCGCTGCCTTAGTTGTCATTGCCAACCCCAGCAGCTGGGGCGATTCGCCGCTCAACATCCAGACCCGGGTCTACGAGATCGAGGAGACTTACCCCTCCCTCATGGGTAGCGTATCCGGCAGCGTCTCCGGCAGCGTGACCGGGAGCGCGGCGGCCAGCCCGAGCCTATCCGAATATCCCGACACGCCTAGCAGGATGCCGTTCGATTACTTGAGGAGACGTCAGAACGAGACGTGGAAGGTCAACCGCCCTGCCAACCCTGCCTTGGCTTCGCTGGCCCCTCCGGCGTCGCTGGCCCCTCCTGCTGTGCTGGTCCCGTCCGGTCCGCCTCCTGGGATGGTGAGAAGTGGATCGGCCTCGGCGG